CTGATAACAACACTGCATAAAATAGGCATGCAAAACAGTTTCAAGCAACGCAGCCAGTCTCTGCTTTTAGTATAGGTTAGTCACAAAACAACTTCCTCAAGCCTTTCGAATTACACTCAAAATATTTCAGTAACTTCTCATAAACATGCTTCTCTTTATTCTACCAGGCCTTTTGGCTGTGTTCATCCAGCCGGTAGTGGTAAGTTAGCTTGCGAATTTGCACTCTGCTCATTAATCTAATAGTCGACTATTTAGTAGAATTCAATAAATTATAAAGCTCAAGTTTCACGGAAAATTTTTCATTTCCAGTCAGCAACCGTCAACTATGCATATGCTGTCGATATCGACAAGGCGATGACAGCAAGCACATTCAATTGCTTTAAAAAGTCTGGCTATAACGCTGTATTCATCAGGTACTAATGGTATCTATACCAAACCATCCCCTTCTCAATTTCTTAACCTAGGGCTTATAACCCACAGGGTAGCGGATTGTTCGATGCGAACGCTCCCAACAACATTCGCAGCGCCTATTCGGGTCAGTGAACAATTTCTCACGTAACTTATGATCAAAGAATTATTGAATAAATGCATTTAGCTGGATTAGGAACTGAGGTCTTCATGACCCCGCAACCTAAATCAGCGAAAACAGGTGCAGCTCAGTTCAAGGAGATGATTGATGGCCTCAAGAAGGCTAACATCAATGTGAGAACGGTCTGGGTACAGGTAGGAAATGATGAAAGTTGAATCCATTTGTAGAAAATTATATCATAATGCGGTCATTTAGGTCACATCACCTGTGAACTGGGGCGCTGACTCGAAGACGAACATTGCTTTCCTCAATGACATCGCCAAGACTGCAATTGTAAGAATCTCTTCTTCGCATTTAGAGTTGACCGCGTGCCAGTGCCGTGCCGACGCCAACGCGGATTCGATTGACCGCTTGTACTGCGTTGACACGGCACCGAACACCTATGGACGCAATTTAGTCACATATACTCAAGTATTCTTATGAGCTTTTTCTAGTCCTCTGGTATCACAATCGGATATTACACAAGTGTGTACGACTGGAATCAGATTACAAAGAACACACCAGTAACGGGCACAAACATTCCGCTCTGGTAAGCGTTTGCGAGGGACTAACAAACCCCGCATAAAATTTTAATCCATTTTTAGGTACTGGAACGTCAATGGAGGTGGACCCAGTGGTGAGACACCAGCCAACTTCAACGACTTCCGTGCATTCGGCGGTTTCACGCAGGCAATGGTGAAACAATTCGGACAGCAAGAAAGCATCTGTGGAGTCGTTGCGAATAGGTAAATAACAAGAAAAATTTCTGATTAAAAACTCCGACGCAACTGCTTTAGGGACGTCTATAACACAGCTGCAAAGAAACTTTTCGCAATTTCAAAGATGGAGAACGGTATGATGACCATTGGCCTCTAATTGGACTGATCATCGTTGAACCGAAACCCAAACCTCAATAAATCTCAGAATGTCGTTTTGTTTTTGTGCTTCATAAAACACGAGAGGCATAAAACTTTCAGCACTATATAAGTAGAAATAGCGTTTCCGTCGAGGGCACACGTGAATGATGTCAGTCCTAAGTTGAAGACTGAGAAGCTGCGCAAAAAAGCATACCAGAAAAGATCTAAGTTGGTGCGGCTCTAGTAAACAAAATCAGAGCATTATTCCGCCACATTTTCTACAAAAAGCAGTCTAAAGTAAAGAGACAGTTGTTGCAACGAAAAAGCTAGATAAGGAGAACTGAAAAGCGAAAGAAGTGTTATGATGGGTTTATCTGGGATAATTATATGTAATCCTGGAAAAACTTTGTGCTATCTTATGTTATTCGGATAGCATGTTGCAGTCAAAGGAGATTGGTCATAAATCGAAGCGATCTCAAAAGGCATATTTTGGGGCAGAGCAGAAAGTTGTTTCTTGCCCTCTTATATGCAAATCGCACATGATTGAGCCAAGTTCAAAAGTTGCGAGATGCAGATACGGGAATGCGGGCATGTTTGGCCCAGGGAATAACACATATCAAGATTTGGAACGTACATGTACATATACAGCATGTCTATCGCGTCCTTCCTTTTTCATCGACGCAGTCGCCAAGCGAAGGCTTTGCGCTAGTTCGCGCGCGTAATGTAACCGTCCAATTTGCCCCCGGCGGCGGTCCGCACGCATGGTCTTCGTGTTGTTCTCAATTCTAAAGCAAAAGAAATAGGCCCGTACTAAACCCCTATTCATCCCAGTTGACTTGAGATGAACGATT